CCGGTCTCTTGGACTGAGTTGGCATTGGACATGGAGAGCAAGAGCAGGAACAGGGGTGCACACACGAGCCTGGTGGTGGTCGACGCCATTTTGGGAGAGATCTCAAAAGGAATCAAAGTATGAGTTTTGGATGGACAGATGAAGGCGTAGTGACGACTTTCTAGTTTCTAGCTATGTGTTTGATGGGAGAAGAAGAGTTGTGTGAGTAACGGATGGATGAAGACGAAGGGGCGTTGGCGAGGCGTATTTATAGGTGTGGCGCTGGTTGTGATCAATGGAGAGAAACAGGGCTAGGCTCTGGAGTTGGGCGTGCAGTTCGGTGCGTGGTTTGGTTGGGTGCGGCATGCAGCGACATAGCTAGCTAGCTAGCTCGTGAACCGAACGCATTGCATTGCATACATCACCATGCATACGTGCAGGAGCATGAGCAAAGGGTGCGAGAGTAGGCATTGTTGCATTCATGCATGCATGTTTCGCACCACAAAAATCCAACTCCATGCCCATGCAGGCGTGTTTCTTCGTCTCTTCTATAGTAGTACGTACTTAGTGTGTAGTAGTGCACGGGCCTTGGTTCTTCAGATGGCACCGCAATCATCATTGGCCTTCTTTAGTTTTGATTGATGATCGGCACTAAATTAAACATGACTCCTTCGAGAACACGAAAAGGCAGCCGCTTAATAATAATGGAAAAGTAGCGCCGTTCCTGCTGGCGCAAAGCGGTTGCCATCAGCAGGAGACTGACACGTCGCTTGCACGCACGGACGTACGTATACTTACTGATACAATGGAGCCATGATTAAGCGACGGACAAGCTTTTCTCGATCTGGACCTGAACTAGGCCAGCGGCGCTTACCTAATAACTCATCGAAGCCGTTCGATCCGTGCATGCATGTACCTTTACTTGGACGACTGGTACCAGTCCTTTTACATTATTCCGTTAATTAGCTATGAGCTGGCCTGATGATCAACCCTTGAAATTGTGTAATCGCCTCAGAGAAAATCGGGAGTTCAACGTGCTCTCATCGGACACAACATCTGCCCCTTGTTGATTGTAGCATGTCGTCTCACCGGTCACAACGGCCGCAATTGATGGTTGAAGCATTTAGTCAAAACAGTTGTAGTGTCCGTTGCTTGCAACATTTTTCGTCGCCGATTGCAACATCTAGTTGTGCCGCTTGTAAAACCACAACTATGCTGATGTCACTCGACTGAGACAGTCTCAGTCGATTGAGTTCTACCCACACCCATTTACAATTATATCTTAATGTTCATGTAAATTTTTGTATTTTCTATCTTTTTGAAATACTAACTGAAGTACCTTGTGTAGTACCTTCCAAATGCATCTATCTAGATTGTGCCAGTTATTCCAACATGGAACATACTAACTTATATTGTTCCTGTCATAGTTAGGAATTGTTTTGAATTAGTATGTTATTGATAACATATTAAATGAATTTTTGGCTATAATTTAAATTAAACTACACGTGACTCAAACAAACCTTAAAATTCAAATAAAATTCACATTTAAGTAATTCCATAATTTTATAGCTCCTACCTGTAAAATATATAAATAATTCTAGGGTTGGCCTCGGAAAAGTCAAACATGCATACTACTGGTTTTATTTAAAAAAAACTACTTTTGGTCTAAAAATATGAAATTTGTCATACGACCATTACAAAGTATTAGGCAATTTTACCAGACTTGGACAATGCATTTCTCTTTAATGGATGTATATTTGAGGATACATCACACCATTCAAGGCAAACTATGAAGTTTGTACTCCATGAAACATCTTCTTGATAAATTTCTTCTAATATTTTGACGATTCATTTTAAATTAGTATGCACATGCGATCATGCTATGTCCTCATAATACTATGTTTAAAATTTCAACAATTTCATATAAGTTGAAATTTTCAATGTTTTTTGTAATTGCTGAATATTCAAGGATGCATCATACTATCCCGGTCTTAACTCTTCTGTGTGGTATTCATTCTCGTTTGTCTCTTGGAATCACATCCAACAGTGGTTGGAAAAGCTCGCAAAATCCAACCACTTCACCTATCATATTGCCCCCAACCATTTCCTGTACCTCTATAGAAACCGAAGTGTTTCATGTTCTTTCATCGAGAGGGTGTTCCTCTCCTTTTGTATCTCTTTACCCAATTTTGGTCTCAAGGAGTGTAAAAACACATACGAGCGTGGCGCAGAAAGCGGAATGTTGTGCAGCGAGTCAAGTGTAATATGATCAAAAGGAAAAGGGGGCGATGCTAAAACTCAAACAGTTCCCTAGAGGGGAGGCCCGGGTTGAAAGAGGAGCTACATTCTTTCATCGAAGAGAGAAAATAAGATGACTGATGCATTCTTACTTCATCTTAATATAGGGATGCTTCACGTAGCTTCCACTGAATAGGAAACAAGATGACCCATGGGGCACTCAGTGACGTATCTAAACCGTCTATCCAGCATTGGCTTTTCACACTCGGGAATATAAAACATTCGGCACGGAAGGAGTACTATTATTTATGTATTAAATTGTTTTCTATCTATCTACAAGATTTGATTCCTTATTGAACTGCATATACCTCAAATAAGTCTCTAAACTAAAAAAGCATATTAAGTAATTTTGTAAAGATTTAGTTCCTGTCAAAAATACATAAATAAATCTAATGTATTATTTTTTGAAACTTTGAACCTTTAAATGCATATTATTGGTTTTCAGTTTTATTTTTATTTTTATTTATTCAGTCTAAATATCATGTGTTTTTTTACATGGGACCCTATGTGACTTGATAAGATCCTGTTTAAATTTTTAGGGGATTTTCAGAAAACCTGGACTGCACATTGTGTTTTAACACGAGCATCTCTCAGGAAGCATCATCATATTCAAGGCAAACTATGTGTCCCACGAGAAAGCAAGCTATTGTCGTAATTTACTCAAATCTTCTAAAAAATTAATGTCAAGCTTATTAGAATTATTTTTGCAATCTTACATTACACCTTTTTTTCCCAAAAATATATTGAATCCTACTATTGGCATGCCTGCAAATGACATAAATATATTGATGGGGGATTTCCACATATTATTTATTCTCTTGTGGGTTCACATGAAGTAGTTATTCTCTTTACAAGAGTAAGTTTATTTTAATTTTAGTTTTTCTAAAAGTGTGAAATAGAAGAAAGAGAGAGAAAAACGATAGAGAGCGCTGGACAGTTTGGGCTGGCTTCGGTTAGCTTCTTGACCATAGCCCGGTGGGTAAAAATAAAAGGAAAAAAGAAAGTAAAGATGGGCTTTGGACCATTTGTTAGTTGTAGACATGGAAAGAAAATAAAGGTACAGGGAGAAAAATGGGCGTTGCCCAATTTATTTTATTATTTATTCATTATTACATTTCAAAATAGATATACTTAATTATTTTTGGAGACATAAATGCAAATGTGGAAATATTAAGAAGATTTCCACATAATATTAATTTTTTTCTGGTTAATATGGATAGTTTTGTTGTTTCCAAGAATAAGTTGGTCTCAAAGTTATATTTTTTGTTAAAAGGATAAACAGAAGAAACGGAAGAAAGGAGAGTGTTAGATTGGTAGTTTGGGCTGACCTCGGTTAGCTTATGGTCCATGGCCCGGTGTGTAAACAAAAAAAAAAGGAAAAAGAAGAAAGCAAAGATGGGCTTCGGCCCATTTACTGGTGGGTGAAAAGGAAATAGAAATAGAAGGGCAGGATCAAGAAATGGGCTTTGGCCCATTTGTTTTCCTTCTTTTCGCCATTTCAACTCAAAATAGAGATCCGCTTAAGAAATAGAAGGCCTAAGAAAAAATAGATAGTTATTAAAATGTTTGAGGTTGAAAAAAAATTAAAATGCGTGAGGTTGAAATATTTTTCAAACTTTTTGAAAATATTAGGAGCCAGCCCTGGATTGCTGCAAGCACATGTTAAAATTTAATTAAATCTTACTAGTTCCAAACTTGAACTTTTTAAATATAAACCTTTTTTTATTCAAAATTACTCCCTCCATAAAGAAATATAAGAGCGTTTAGATCACTAAAGTAGTGATCTAAACGCTCTTTTATTTCTTTACAGAGGGAGTAAGTTTCAACTACAAGTGTGTGATTTGAATTTATTAAATTCATGACAAACTCTTTGTGTATTTTGGAAAAAAAGTTTGAACATTGAGTGGGGGTAGCATCTAAAGCATGAACATCTTTATTTTTAATTTAAGTAACTATGTTACTTGTACATCTATGACAGCAATCATCATTTCAACATAAAGAAGTGTCACCCAATTGGGACTGGTTAGCCCGCTTTTGATCACTGAAGGAAAGTTGAAACCGGATTTAGGCCATTATATGATGTTTCCAAAGAACATCACCAAAAACCTGTCATATATCAACAAATTTCTTATAGCGAATTGTGCGGAATGCCATACGAGTAACGACAGTCATGACTAACGAGTACTTTGCTGTACGTTCAAAGGTATAAGGTGTATTGTGTTGTGTTAAACATAGAATCAATCTAGGACCGTCAAATGCAATGGTAGAGCCGAGCGGTTTGGACGTTTTAGATCGGCCACAACTCATGGCTTTTACATAAGGGGTGGTGGAGACAAACTTGTTCTGTAGTGTTGTAATGACAGTATTGAGAGATGCATAAAACTGAGATGGAGAGGCACATAACACGTGAGCATTTGTATATAACTCCGGGCTCAAACACACCCTTGCACTGATGGGTGATGACTAAATCCATACATTTAACCCAGCTAGTCAATGTGCCTATCAACACAGGCGGCACATTACACACCGACACCAACACAAACAGCTTGCAGTATCTCCACCAAAAGACCCAACCATATAGACTCTGTGCTAGATCACATACATATATACACATGTTTGACTCAAATCGTGTGTGCATGCATAGTCGTCGCTCTACCTAATTAACCGATGAGCTAATTAATTAATGAAGTTCAGCGGCTGAAATTACTGAAACCGCATGCATATCAGCCGATCTTCTCCGTGTTGGTGTCGTCGGTTGGCCAGATGACCGTCTCCATGAGCCTCTCCCGCATCAGCTCCAGGTTCTCGTTGGAGATCTTCTCGTACATTTTTGCGTGGTCACATTTCTGCAGGTTAAGTAAACATGAGCAAATCAGATGTTAATAATAATTTAAATTTTTTAAGCAGCTAAAAAATATACGGCATGTCGTGCGTAAAATTAGTGGATGTTTTTCCTTTTGCGGTGAAAATTTGTGGCATGTTGATTGGTTTTGGAAAATATTATTACCTTGATCCATTTCCCGTACAAGCTAAGCCGGGTTATCATAACCCGCTCTGCAAGCTCCTGCCTCTCCTGCAAGTTACAAGAGCAAAAGAAAACATATATTCATGCGAGGAATTTTGCATGCTAATTTGTAGCAGTGCAAGAAGAACAAAAATATGTGTGTGGATCTGTTCATACCTTTCCAAGAGCGCGGAGGAACAGCTTGCCATCGGTGGGCTTGTTTACAGCAACAAAGCTGTCAGGGGAACAAGAATCCAAGATTTAATAACAAAATTACTAGTACTAATTAATTGCTAGAATTTTCATACTGGAGAGAGATCAAATATGTTGTTACTTGTAGAGCCAGCGGTAGCTGGGTGGGTTCATCTCGTAGAGCTGGGTCAGCACGGTCCTCACGGCTTTGTAGGTAAAGTAGTTCATCAGTTGCTGCATCATCATGAACAGGAAACATTTTTCATTTTCTTTTCTTCAAGAAACTTGAAATACTATTCACATATTCATTACCCTAAAGCAACAAAGCTGCAACAACAATTAAAAAAAACCTATTCTTGACCATCCCTAAACAAAATCATCTGAATCTTTCAGCCGAGGAACTGTTGTAAGAGATGTTCCAAGAAATTCCCCAAGGTCGTAACATGACATATATGGATGATTGAGAACAAGAAGTAGAAGAATTCCATCAAGTAGATGGCGGAGGAGAGGCTGATGAATTACCAGGTCGACGTCGCCAAAGCCAACATCGTAACTGCCCCCGAGGTTGCTGACGATGGCGAGGCCGCCGCTCCTGCCGCCCCTGCCCCGGCCACACTGCCTGAGCCTGACGGAGCAGGTCGCCCGGCGAGGCCTCCTCCTCCAGTCACCAGCAAACAGGCTCGTGCTTGAACTGCTCCCCCCCGCCACACGCCTCCTCGCGAGCCCCGCCACCGCCTTGCCGCCCTCCGTCCTCACGTCGACCGTGGTCACCGCGCCCACCCCCGGCATCACCTGAACTCCGGTCATCCTCACCGTCACCGTGAGCAGCTAGTGATTTCCTTGGTTGGTGTCAGTATGTGGTATATAAAAATCGAGGGAGGAGCTGGGGGAGGTGTCCAAGTAAGTGGCCGGCGGAGGAAGAAGAGGTGGTGTTGAACTGCTGCTGGGTCGCCGTGGCTGGCGCTGGCTTGGCTGCGACGCTCACCAACCAAATTTTCTGAGGCCCAGGACGCGCGCGATTTTCAGCTTAGCACCACCAGGGGAAAACCCACTGAAGATTCAACAATTCCGGGTAAATTTGGCAGCAAGATTCAGAAAATGAAATTCTCGTGTGACCCCGCGTGTCATTTGACAAGGCGCGTACGTGTGTGGACCGGGCAGACGAGGCGCCTCCTCTCGCGTGGATTCTGTGAATCTGAAACCAAAACTTGGGAGGAATCTGAATTCTGAACGGGAGACCCAGAGCAGGCCACGGCGCGGCCGAGAGGTTGCTGCATGCTGGTCTCGGTTCCCGTCCGGGTACATACAACGTGTCTGATTTTTCCTCCCAGCCAGGTACAGCAGAGTACCATGTTTGATGTCTCTCAGCTCCTTTCGTTTACTGGTCTACAGAGTGCTGCACACGGCACGGTACACCTTGGTGTGCGCCCTCCGGCCGACCACCTCGACCTGCGAGGTTCCTTGCAGCGACGACGCACCACAACTCGTCGGCAGCTGGCCAGAGCACGTAATCTCGGTGTTCCAAGGAGTACAAGGTAAAGAGGACCAGCAGATGCTCGGATTTCCTATGAATACCCGAGCTGAAAGTATTTAATTTGAAAATATCATGATAAATACTACTATATGTCATGTCACCTTGGGGTTTAGTGATACACCAAATCACCTTTTGGACTTTCAGTCACTTCTTTCGGTCCCACGTGGTCCTTGCGGGTGGCTCGGACAGCACAATTGCTGCGCCGTTCTAGCCGGTCGTCTGCCTACTCTCCCCCTCACCGCCGCAGGCCCAAGATGCCTTTTTTTTTTGAGGTGAAGGCCCAGGATGCCTGGGCAAAGCCCCTTGCGGTGGTTAGGCTGGGCCTCTTTCTAGTGGCTTCTACTTGGGCTAGGTGGAGTCCGGCCTCAACATCCAACCGCATGGACACGGTTCCTGGCTACCAGCAATGTGTTTGGGTGTTACCTCACCAAGTCACCATATTTGAGCGGCCATGGACATGGGCAGCAATGGTGGGTTTGGAGCTTCGATCGGTGCTGACGGTACAAAGTTGTGGTGGAGCTCGGAGGATCCATGGATGTGTTGGTCGTGTCTTCGAGGATGGCTGATGGCTTGCAAGTGTTCGACGTAAGAGTATCGATCCCACCGACAACCCTCTCTTCCCGTCCCCCTCCCCCGCCACCGCCGACATGCACCGCCGGGCGAAGCCCTGGCTGCATTCACTACAACAAATATGTCAATTTGTGACTTTGATATTGGTCACTGAAAGGTCATTGTTTTTCATTTGCCACCTTTTTGTGACCAAAAACAGAAAGTCAAAAGCTGGCGGTCGTAAACTGAAATTAAAGACCTTCGCTGTGAGAAGGTCGTAGACGTTTACAACCAAAATATGCCTATTGTTTTGTTTTGGTCACTACAGCCTCCCCAGACCACGTAGGCATCCGACGTGGCAATCTGATGTGGCACAAGAATCAGCCCGGTCCAATTCGTTTTTCTACATGGGCCTAGCCCAACAATTCGGCCTTTTTAATGTATTTTTTTCCTGTGCTTTTATTAGGTACATGGGTCTGGCCCAACAATTCAGCATTTGATTTCTTTGCATGGGCTTTTTAACAGCAGATTTTCTTTTTGATCATGTATTTTTCTGGGCCATTTCTTTGCTGGGCCTCTCATGTTTTTCCCTCAAAAATAATTGTCCAATATAACTTGGGCCTAGCCCAGTTAAAAATTGATCCAATCCAAAAAAATTATTATGCCATTGACATTACAACACATCACACCACAAGCTATCTTGGGCCTAGCCCAGTTCTGATACATTTTAAAAGCAACGTGCAATGTTATTATATTACAACCATTCATTCCAGCAATACTATTCGAGGCTGGCTGCGGGCTAACTAAGTTTTTACAAAAGGTGAATCAGAAACCTAACGCTACTGCATTTGCATGGCACTGCTGAAATACTCCAGGATCGTGAAAAAAAATAGAACTAGCCTATCTGGTACTTCGTAGCAACCAAACATGTAATCTGCTTAATGGAAAAATTTCTTCTCCAAGTCCCTCTTCTCTCTTAGCAATGACAGGCTGATGCAAAACATCTGAGCATTCAAAAGAGAACAAAAGGTATGTCACTGATAGAATACAAAGTACTTTTAAAATAAAAAGTAAAGATACACTAGTATATTATCATTCTACTTATTATTATTATTAACCAGATCATTCTACTTATCCAGAATATGGCTATTATTAACCAGATCATTCTACTTATCCAGAATATTGCTGCTAGTGTTCTAAACCAACAGAGCATGCTATAGGAGCAGAAAAGTGGGAGCTAGGGCTAGAAGATGGAGCCGACTCACCGGAGAGCTTGTGGTCGCCGTCGTACACAACCGCCATCACGCCGGTCTCCTCAAAAAGCACCACCGCGCCGGAGACGGTGCCTGACATGTGCAAGAGAAGATCACCTGCTGCATCCATTTCCAAATAGAACAAGAACAAAAAAATAGGAAGGGTTTCAGAAAAGGACAGTTATTTAAAATGACAACACAAATTCAGCTAGTACAATTGTTATTCTCATCTCACTACACAAGTGGCTCTATGAACATGCCAGACACAATACTGAACATGCGAGGAAAAACTATAAAGAAGATATTTTACAGATTTACTGTGACATATTTACCCTACATGTGAAACATTTTTCAATAAATAAACTCGTCTAAGAGGACATGAAACAATATCTACACGTCAAAGAGGACATGACACAATATCTACCAGCTACAAATTCCAGGCAATATCTACTAGCACAGTTAACCAGAACAATTACAAACAGCAGAGGAAATCATGAATGTGTAAATGCATGAATGGTTCTTTAGATCAACTTCAAAGCTAGCAGCAAGCATGTTTAGACAACTTAACACATTAGTAATATTGCCAGCAATATTGTTGGAAGCACAAGAGAATCTAAAGCTAAAGCTTCAGCTTCAACATTAGTAATATTGCCAGCTTTAACATCATAGAGACTCAAGCAGATCCTAATATAAAGCTATTTAGACCATAACTTTCACATCATAGGGACACAATAGTGTATTACAACACTATGTCCAGATATAAAAATTGAGTAACCAGCAAGCAATCAGATTGAGAACAATTCAGTTGGGGTTCTTAACTTTCAGTATGCAGTATATCTAAGAAGTCACACTATCTAAATGCCTAGAGGAAACAGATTCACAGTACTAAGTAGGGGAGAAGCAACACAAGATACCTTGTCAACAGTCTTGTTCTGCCTGCAAACGATGTTTGCAGTTCCAATGTCTCCCGAAGTGGAGAACTTGACACCCTCCTTGGTGACAGAGATAATAACTGCAACACACACAAGTCGCCGTCAGACTGGTAGAAACTGGTATTCAGCATATTTCTTTTACAGGAAATAGAGACGACAAGTGCAGCAGATTTCTTTTACAGGAAACTGGTATTCAGCATACCAGTGTCACCGATGCTGCTGAGATCCTTGCAGATCCTGGAGAACTCAGAGGACGGCATGCGGACGATGGCCTGGTACTCGGAGTCGGGGATCCCGAGGTGCCCGCTGTCGATGTCCATGAGCTTCATCTCAAAGTCCATGATCTTATCCTGATCTGTCCATCCATCCATCCAGGCCAGGGTCACCGACGGAACCAAGAGCGAACAATGAGGAGCAACCGAATCAGCAGCTCGCCATTCTCCTCCAACAGACTGAACCTCTGCTTGTTGTCTCGCCTGACCGCCTACACGCGAGAAGGCAAAAAAACATTTACTCGAAGCATCTTACAATTCACAACAATTTCGTGACTGACCCAATTAATTTTACAGCATATAGAGATTTCACAATAAAAGTTCATGGTACTAGGCTGCTAGCTATCAAGATGAAAACAACATGTAGCAGATACAGGCAGGAGAAACATTCACTGATTATTCTCTTATAAATTTTACATCTACTAGATTGCCGCTAACTGGGGTCAAATAGCTGGGCCCTGCACAAGAGAAAGTAGCATACACATGCATGTCCCAGTTGAATAAAATACTTCATTTTAATAATGGATTCCGGAGATATTTCTTAGTGTTTCAAATCATTCAGTTATCTGAATTAACAGTACAGAAAAGAATTGAAAATCTGAATGACAGCAATTGGAAGGATAAAGCAACACTTGTTCTAAGGACAATAAGCTGATTGGTGCCAGACAGTGTGGGGTATCATCAGTCACCTAGCTGAACAGGAGTGTTTAATCTTGCCAACTAAGACCAACAAAGTGCCAAACAGAGCTGATTCAGGCCACAACAGCAACATACCGAATTAGTTCAGAAAAAAACTACCACATGACTAAATAGGCACGCACCTCTCTGTACTTCTGCAGATAAACCTTGAGGGGTTTGATGTACTCAAACCCCAGCGTTGCCATCGCAAAGAGCAGGTCGTCGCCGTTGATGGTCTTGCGCTTCATTCACCAGACCACACACACTTGATTCAGGCAGGCGAAACAGAGCGGGGGCACCTACTCGCTGGTGATGAAGGAGATGAATACAGCAGCAACAATTGCAGTACCCAGTTCATAAGAATACATCAATTAACAAAGCTATGGCCACAACGGAGTGGACCAAGTACCATCTCAAGTACCTAACGAGTGACGGGCAGTGGATTCACAATAAATTGCAGAGAAGCTCATCCCCTATTGATTCAACAAGCTACTCACATCCACGCATAATATTAATATCTAACATCAAAAGCCACCATTATTATCACCGGTACAACCACAACCCTAGATAATTCACATACACATCCAGT